TTTTTTTTGGGGGGAGGGGGTAGTGAGAGGGTGACAAGAGATTAGATAGCACTGTAATAATTTACTGTAAACAATATTGGAATTCACCATGCCACTAGTCCAACCCGGACCTCCCCCCTCCCCCGCCACTTGCTACAACAAGGAACGAGCGACAAGACAGTGCGGCCAACAACTAATCTGGAGGTCATCCGGTGCAGTTAATGGAAAGAAATGTCCATGGGTACAACGTCGGGCGCGTTGGGATAGTTTGTCACGTCGCCGTGGAATCAGGCGCTCGTCAATTTTAGAGCATGTGGAGTTATTGGTATCTTCTGAAAGGGTATTCATTTTTCTTGCTTTATAAGAAAAATATACCAAACTATCTTGAACAGAAGTTGATATATCTGCGATTGAGGGAGGGGGGGGGTGGGGGTCGCCTGGTTTCAGAGATAAAATAAGCGAGAAAGTGGCCGACAAAGTTGGGTAATTTCAATAGCTTGAGAACTCTCGAAGACTGGAAATTTACATATTGTGCGCCTTTAATCTATGTTTCTCCTGTAAAATCCATTTGGAAATTTGTTTTAAATGGACATAAAAGATTTTGAGAAAAAAAGACAAACAAAAACCACACATAAATTTGATTAAAATGGACAAACTGGTGGGGAAATGCCTATTCCTTCGATTTCATTATTTTGACGAGCGCTTGAGTTTACCACGATGCCTCACAGTTTTGTGTGACGGGGATAGAGGGATAGATCTCCCGCCTGTAGTTCCTTCTGCCACTTCCAGGGATGCCGTGGAGTATGATTGAATTCCCCAACTCGTTGGGGACAAACTCCGAGTCGCCTCCAACTTCTTGATAAAAATATTAATAATATTATGGTCGCTTTTAAGCACAAGGGGGCTATCCCGAAAAATGCTGTTTTGAGAAAATTGAAGGTAACGTGTTTGCCCCTTTTTCATTTTCTTTAAAAGACAAGGAGAGTTTTCTCTATAACTAAACAACTATCCACAGCAATGAAACCAAACTTCTCTTATAGGTAGAGAAATGCCCACTATTGGTGTAGGTCAAGATTTCTGGAAGCCCCCGAAATCTGGGTTAGCCGGCTTGTCCTTCAAAGCGACCGTATGATGTCTGAGACAGTCTGTCTCCAACACGGTGCAGTGTGAGGCTGGATGTTATGGCGAAGTATAAACCACTATGCCTTCTCATTTTGTACATCTTTAATGTAGTGTTTTTACGCCCCAATCGATATAATATGTGAGACAGCGTGGTGGAATCAGGCTCTCGTCAAAATAATCAAAACGAAAAAACCTGCATTTTTCCGCAGGTTTGTGAATTTTTATCAAATTGTTGTTTTTTGGCACAACACCTTTCATGCCCATTAAAGAACTAATTTCTGTGTGGATTTTTCTGAAAAGTGTTGATTAAAGGAATAAAAAATGTAAATCTTCAGTTACCACGGACTCCTAAGCTAAGGTAATAACTAATCTTTGGCGTCCATTTTTTCACTAACTTTACCTCTGAAAACAGGTGACTCCCACCTCCTTCTTTTGCAAATATCTCGACTTGTATTCAAGATAAATGGATATTGTTTGCATCCAAATAAAGACAAATGAACAAGCTTTAAGATGATACCAATAACTCTACATGCTCAAAAAATGACGAGAGCCTGATTCCACCACGCTGCCTCACATTTGGCTTCTGGCCTCATGGTCTTAGTAACTCAAAAACGGCCAAAAATTAATGTCAGATAAAACTTTGTAACTCTGCACTGAGGCAGCAACTTGTGACAGACAAGGCTATCCCGAAACAGTCGGCAGCCATTTTGTTTAGAAATGAGAGTTTTTGGAGAATCTCAAGTCTGGTCCCAACGAAGTCTAGTTTGGCGTCGGAATCCCATCTATTAGGGCGATGAAGATGGGTGTAATCACAGATTTGACGGCCAAGGAAAAATAGCCCGGCCCGGTCTAAAGTGGCGCTCGGTACTAATGATATTGTGTAGGGGGTTACTTCCCCTTGTGGGAAGATCAAACGACAAGCGTATTGGAGGAGAGAAGGAGGGGTTACAACGTCTATTCCAATGAAATAGGCGGGGAGTGGGGGAAACTATTTTTCGGG